TGACTTGTGTAAATTGATTTGTAATATTGATTTGTAATCAAAGATCAGCAGGTCTGGACGTCCTAGAGGGCTGGGTTCCCCAAAAAAGAGAAGAAAATTTTTGCAAAAATAAGGTGCAATTTTTGCAACGGAGTTTTGGAGTATTTTAGTTATAAAATTATCAATTTTAGTCTGTTTATAATGTTTTATATATCAAAATGAAGCTGTGAGTGAGAAGAATCTTTATGTCTTAATAAGCAAGAGTGATTTACTAATAAAATTTAAAGATATTGTAAAGAGAACAAAAAATTGAAATTTAGCTATATCTCTATAAAAAAGACTCTAAGAGATATAAAACTAGGCTGCCTATATGTAAAATTTTGTCAGAAACAATTTTACTTAGGCAGCCAGAATAGATTTACTTAGTAAAATATAGAGTAAAGTGCAATTGTTTTTAGCTAAAACTTGGTACAAGTGATCGTCGAGAAGAGTTAGTGATTTGCGTCCTTTTAAATTGATTTGTTATTAATATACAAAAATATAATTAAATAAAATTAAATAAAATCTATACGTTTGAGAATACACAGCATGTATACATATAACCCACTTATACTTTCAGATACTTTCATTCACCATATTAATTATTTTTTCGATACTCTTAAGCTAAATTTTTTATCCATGATTGCCAGTGAAGATTGAGCGATCCTCTCATACTAATTAATTCATGAATGAACGGATCGCCAAATCCGAAATGAGATTTTATAAAATCTGGAAATTAGGTTTGTTAGTCATAAAGAATAAACTATAAAAATAAGCAAAGTATAAGGGATTTCATTATGAAAAACTTATCTGATTATAATTGAAATATGTCTACTACTTCTACTTCTGCACCATCTACTCCCATTAATAATATCAAAAATCTCACATATAGTATTTCAAAATCTCTAAATGATAGTATTATTAAGAGTAAAAAAATTCCAAATCTAAGTAATTGTTCAGAATGTGGAAAAGATATTATTTTGCATCCTCTTAAGGCATTTACAACACTATCTTGTGGATATGTGTTTCATAGACTTTGTATTGAAAAAAAACTTTTACTTACGATTCCAAATACATGTCCATTTTCTGGTTGTAGTGGGGAGGTTGAAATTATCGAAATGGGGAATAGAAGGGGTTCTGAATCAAGTATATCATCGGTAGTTAGAAGGATGGAAAAACATAGTATCCAATCTCAAGATTTGCCAGAAATTATAGAAGAAGATATGTCAGATGTAGATGATAATGAAGATGGTGAAGGTAATCGTCCAACAGACCAAAGCATTATCCCTTTAGAAAAAGAATCCCGTAAAAGACCTAGTAAAGATACCCCTGAAAATAAATTATCTAGTAAGAAAGTAAAGACTAAAGATGGAAATGTATCTATGTTAAAAAAACTTATTGAGAAGCTGAAATCGCCAACTTCTTCAACAAGTAGTACCACTTCTCAGGCTGAATCCATCACAAGCCCAAGTAATTTTTCCGATTTATACAGTGCAATTGTTAAGGCTGAAGAACAAATTGAAAGTGTGAATCAAGAAATTATTATATGCTATTTTGCTTTTGGAAAAAAGCTTAAGAAAGGTTAGCCGAGTATATGAAAGCTAATAAAGAGCGTAGATCTCAGAGAAAACTTTATGAAGAAGTTGAAAAACAGCTCCCATCTAACCTCTTGAAAAATGCAGTTGAGAAAAGAATAGAAAGAGCAAGGAAAATTTATGACCTTTTTAGTAGCATAGGTGAGGATAAAATACAACGGGTAAGATCTTATTCGGCATTGAGAATTTCTAAATTAAGTTGGGATGAAATTGATGCTGTAGAAGAAGAGTTTGAATAAGTCGTCTTTACTGCGCCACAATCACGTGACTTTGGTTGACCGATCGGTCAATGAAACTAGAACAGCCAAGATATATAAAATGCCAAATTATTAAAAAAATTGTTTTAACAGTGGGTATTAAATTCATTACGTAGTTTTTTGTTGTGTAGAATCAAGATCAATTTGGTTACAAAAATTCGCTTGCAAAATAAAATTATAACCCTACCAGTCTTATCGTATATAATTTATTTAAGACTTATCATGTTATTGTACAACCGTGTTTACGTTGCGACTCTTACGACTCTATGCATACCGTAATTTATTTATGATACGGGGCATAATACTGTAATAATGGTAAGTACACCAACCCAAAACGGTCAATTAGATTAATTTTTGCATATGAATTTTGCTACATATTATTAGTTTATAAAAGATGAAAGGTCAGAATAACATACTTGCACGTAAAAACAAACAAAATTACTAACGATAATTCTCGAATAATTAACGTTTAATAAAAATAAATCAGAATCGATACATAATTTTCCATAATTCACCCACGTAACAAAGATATTCATTTAACATGTGTTAGAATAATTCCGCATATAAAATTTATCTGTATCACAAGGCTTATTGTTATGCATAATTTAAGACGGGGCACAGAGTGAAGATTGCCATTTTTCATTTATCGGAATTAGTCCCTAACCAAAGTCGGTCAATTAACTCATGCCACATCTATTCTTCATTTTGGGGGAGAATTCCCGAAACCTTATCTGGCCTAAATGCGCACAATGTATGCATGTACTACGGAGTATCAAGTCCCTTAAAGCTTATTTTTAACGATTTTAGCCTTACATGGCTCTATAACTCATGATGCATACACTTACATAATTTATAGAATTCTTTGCATTATCGATAGAAATTTCTCTGCGTGGAAATACATGTCTCAACTTCTATCGTAGAAATTTTCGATGTAAGAGTGCATGTTTTTACTCCTGTCTAACCTATCTAACATTTCGAGTTTCGGAGAAGAGGTGAAAGAAAAACATATAAAAGGGCAGTATTTCGAATTTATTGTTATTTGTCGCTTTATAGTGATTTCTCTCATCATACTTTACTAAAACATGTCTACATCTATTCCATCAAACGAAATCCTTCGAAACTTTTTAAAAAATGAACCGTTAGAACGATTATCTATTTCCAGAATAATCCATGAGATGTGGAGAGTTTTCGGAATGGAAACGGAAAAGTTAGATTGTGAACGTATTATAAATATGTTAGAAGATATGTCAGATAAAGACATTAATGATAGTCGTAAATCACATCTTCAAGAGTTGAAAAACATTGACAAGGTATTTCGAACAAAATGTTATTTTTGATATAAATTATAAAAAAATGATGGAAAATTCGAAGTCTTTAGTTAATGTTCTAGAGTTGTGTAAGTAGTAATATTAAATTACCCGCGAGAAGCTACTTTATTGCATTAACATGACATTGGATTTTAATGGGTGCCCAATAAATTGCTAGCAAATGCTGATTAATATTTTGCATTGATGTGATTGAATGTTATTGAATCTTAATAATCTAAGCTTTTGTATTTTTTAACAGATACGTTTTTCATGGAATGAAGTCAAAACACTAAAGGATGCCGATTTATTTTGTAATAAATTTAAGGAGCAAACGGATTGGAAAGTAGAGGCCGAATGTACTATAGGCAATATAAAAGATAAAGTGGAGGTATTTATTATAAATGATTTTGTTGCTAAAATTAATATAAAAATAAGCTAATACAAATCGATTATTATTTTTCTCTATTAGAAGAATGGGGGAACACCGGCGCATCAACGTCTTTTTGGGAAATTGTGTGAAATAGATATTAATGACTTAAAATGTGATGATCCTTTGTCGAATGGTGTGATTGACCTCGGTTCTGATCGATTTCAATTATCTGAGAATGACTTTGATTTACTTGTGGGAGAAAAAGCAGGGATAAGAAGATTAAGTAAAAGTGCTTCAATAAAAAATATTTGTGCTGAATTTGTTAGAAGAAGAGATGAATTTCAAGAATTATACAAATTGGTAATAGCAGAAGATGTGAATGTAGTTCATTATCGCTGGGTTGAACAAGAAAGTGATAGAGAACGGATTGTTAGAGACATTACTGAATGTCTCATGCAGTTGATAAAATCAAATTCCTTCCGTCCTAGAGGCTCTGAGAATTCGCTCGTGGAAGTAGTGGCTCGACTAATCGAAGTGGCCACATATCAATTACCAATTAATAGAGAAGTTGAGGTAACAAGAAATGAACGTCAAAGCGTGGCAAGTAAAAATCGTAAAGCTAAAGTAAAGGATGGTGCAAGGGGTAACAGACCAGATTTTATGATTCGAGCTTTGCTAGGCCAAAAATGGAACGAAATTGTATACGCTGAAAGTGGTAAATGGAATTGTAACGAAGATAAAATACTTGAAGATCACAATAAATTAGTGAGATTTTGTATAGACGGATATAAGGAGATTTCGAAAAAGCATGTGAAAGATGTTCTACGAAAGAACTATATTGCTTTCGGAATCAATATTGCAGGTAAAATCATAAGTTATATCTATTTACTCAAATTGGTTAGTAATTCATGAAAATATCATTAGGAGAAAATATAATTGTTCATGGATTAATCCGAGAAAATGGGGTAAAATATTATCTCCCAATTGCCGAGGCAAAAATCCCATTAAGATCTGAATCTGTCGAAGAGGTAGAAGAATTTGTTCATGTTTTAATGACCATACGGGAAGTATAGTTTTGATTTAAAGTTTATCAAAAATTAGTAATTTGCTAATTAGAAAAAGCTTATTTGCAGAAAGCATAGCGGGCTTTAAATCTGATTGGATGATCGACCGAAATGTTACACAATATGTTCTTCATATTAGCGTAACGT